CCACAAACCCACAAAAAAAACCCCGTTTCCCGAAAAAAAAAAAAAAAAAAAAAAAAAAAAAAAAAAAAAGATGGACCTAGAGAGCAACCGTCCCATGGGATGAGAGGCCAATGCAGGGTGCAGGAGGAGAGGCTGTCAGAAAGGGAAGGCAGGGTATAACACCTACCAAAGCCCAGTAGAATCCTGCACTGTGTGGCCTTTTGTGTCTGGCTCTCCCTGGTTTTTAGACTCACATGTGGTAGCTGTGTGGGTGTGAGCTTCGGGGTCTGAATACTCAGCTACACAGATGTGCCTCCATGTTTGCATTTTCCAGATGATGGGCATTTGAATATTTTTACCTTTTTATTTTTTCCCTTACATTTGAAAAATTTAAAAAATTCAATGTATTTGTGTGTGCATGTGTGATTGTATTCACACATTGAAGCCAGAAGAGGGCAGTCAGATCCCTCGGAGCTGGAGTTCCAACTTGGGATGCTTGGGATGCCACACAAGCCCTGCAACCTGAGTTCAGATTCCCATAACCTGTGTAAAATGTCAGACTAGCCTCAGCACGCCTTACGAGGAGATGCAAGGCCGGCTGGAGAATCATCTGAAACTCTCTTGTCAACTAGCCTGGCACACACAGCAGTGAATAGCTAGAGAGACCCTCCCTCAAACAAAGTGGAAGGCGAGGCCCAACAGCAGGGTTGTCCTCTGCCTCCACACCTGTGTACCCCCACATCCATACACACCACAAATAAAAAGTCTGAAAACCATTTTAGGTGCTGGAAAGATGGCTCAGCCATCCACACCCACTAGGGGCTGGAGAGATGGCTGTGGTTAGGAATACCTACTGCTCTTGCAGAGGGCCCCAGCACCCATGTGTCAGCTTACATCTATCCATAACTTTTTCCATGGGAACTTCTCACCTCCAGGCATGTACACAGTGCACATACAGCTGTAGGTGGAGTTTCTCTGTGTCTTGGAAGCCACTCCCAAATAACTACTCTAGAGACTTATTAATTATAAATGCTTGGCTGATAGCTCAGGCTTATTACTAGCTAACTCTTACATTTTAAATTAACTCAAGTCAGGCGTTTTGGTGGCCCGTGCTTTTCATCCTAGCACTCGGGAGGCAGAGGCAGGCGGATCTCTGAGTTCAAGGCCAGCCTGGTCTACAGAGCAAGATCCAGGACAGCCTCCAAAGCTACACAGATAAACCCTGTCTTGAAAAACCAAAATAAATAAACTCAAATTTCTCATCTACCCTCTGCTACATGGTGCTACCTTTTTTAAAAATTTTTGTTTGTTTGTTTTTTGAGTTTCTCTGCATATAGCTTTAGAGCCTATCCTGGAACTTGCTCTGCAGATCTGGCTGGCCTTGAACTCACAGAGATCTGCCTACCTCTGCCTCCTGAGTGCTGGGATTAAAGGTGTTTGACACCACTGCCCAGCTGGTGTTATCTTCTTTCAACATGGCTCATTCACCTTGCTTCTTTCTGCATCTGGTCTCAACTCCCAAGACTCCACCTTTCTTCCCAGCATTCTCTCTGCCCTGAAAATCCTGCCTAGCTATCAGCCAATAGGAATTTTATAAACAATGAGAGCAATACATTTTCACAGTGTACAGAAGGATTATTCCATAACATTTCCCCTTTTTGTTTAGTTGAAAAAGAAGGTTTTAACTTTAACATAGTAAAACTATATATAACAAAAATAGTTATCAGGTAAGAATTAAAGCTACAATAAATATCCCATCCATTTATATTTGGCAAAATTAGAGAAAATATCTATTACCTATCTTATCTTTGTGACGCTAAAGTTTTATGCCTAATTTACTTTTTATCATAACTAAGAAAAAAACATAAGTTCAATTATTTAGTCTTTAACGCCATCAAAAAAAAAAAAAAAAAAAAACAACACAGAAGGGTTACTTAACAACAGGGACATCTGGCTACCTGAACAGTCACTCAGAATTTGTAACATTGGGGCAGCCAACTTTGGTGTACAGGCCTAGTATAGCTGACAGACTTTTCTGAGAAGTGGGGAACTTTGAAGGACTGTTTTACCTTGTCTTGGTAAAGTTGGGCAATCGCTTTTTTGTGTGTCCTGCTGGTCCAGTTTGGACAGCATACTGTTAGCAATTGAAGCAAGAGCATTTTCTTTGCCCAAATGGCTAGCTTTGCCATAAAGAAAACAAACTCCATACAGAGTTTCTTTGATGCCCATTATCTTCTCAGAAGTAGATTGGTGCTGCCAGGAGCGGACATGTCTCACTGTCATGAAAAGCCTTAGGTTATTAAACCTATTGAAGTGTTTGGAGACCATCTATCTAAATATATCTGTGTATGACCTTGAAAAATACCTAACATGACTATAAGTTTGACTATTTATTATAGATCACTGTTAATTTGTATTTCTTAATTATGCATTACATTTTAAAATGAGCTGAGTAAGCAAAGGTAGCTGGGTGGTGGTGGCACATGCCTTTAATCCCAGCACTCGGGAGGCAGAGGCAGGCGGATCTCTGTGAGTTCGAGACCAGCCTGGTCTACAAGAGCTAGTTCCAGGACAGCCTCCAAAGCCACGGAGTAACCCTGTCTCGAAAAAAAACCAAAAAAAAAAAAAAAAAAGGAAACAATTAGACACAAAAGGCTAGAAAGAATATGGTTCTACTTATAGACAATGCCCGGAATGAGTAAACCTATACAGACAGGAAGACTGGTGGTTGCTAAGGGCTGTGGGGTGGGGACGTGGGAGTGACTCCTGGTGGATATGCGGTTTCTCTTTAGAGTTATACAAATCTGAAACTGGATCAAGGTGGTGAGAATATACTAAAAATCACCCAGTTGTGTACAGTTGGTTTCCACATCTATAAACTCAACCAACTGATGATCGAAAATACACGAAAAAAGAAAATTGGGTTTACACCAAACATGTAAACCTGATTTGTTGTTGTGCCCTAACTGATTAGGTCTAACTATTGATGAAGGGTTTATATCATGTTTCTGTGTTACAAGTTAGCTCGAGATGGTTTAAAGTACACTGGGGAATATGCAGATGTTATATACAAATACTGAACTCCTGTCTGGAAAAGGCTTGAGCACCGTAGGTTTTGGTAGGCTCGGAGGTTCTGGATTGTTTGTTTGTTTGTTTTCGAGACAGGGTTTCTCTGTGTAACTTTGGAGCCTATCCTGGCACTTGCTCTGGAGACCAGGCTGGCCTTGAACTCAAAGAGATCCTCCTGCCTCTGCCTCCCAAGTGCTGGGATTAAAGGCGTGTGCCACCAGGTTCTGGGCTCTTAAAATGGTGAGTTTATCTTGTGTGAATTCAGTGTCAGTTCTGAAAACACATCATCTCTTCCCCAAGAATTGTGACATAAATAGCTTGTTTCTTGTTGGGATGGTGTCGGGTGGTTTCAGGTGACTTTCATCAATGGCTCAGGGGACACATAGCCAGTTCTCTGGGAGCCAGGGTCTTAGGGCTGGGTAGGCTGGAACTGGATCATGACAAGCCATGTCTGAGCCTGCAGCCAGGGAGCAGTCTGAAGGAAGCTATCTGCCTTCAGGCTCAGGATGGCTCTGACTGGTGGCTCCTGGGTAGGAAAAGCCTGCAGGAGTCATGAGTTCTGGGAGCTGGCAGGGACCAGATAGAAGAGGGTGGCCCGCCCAGTCATCACTGCCCTCTTCCTTTTCCCTCCTCAGATTCTAGTGAAGACCATGATTCGGAAACGCTCTTTTGGGAACCCGTTTGAGGGCAGCCGGCGGGAGGAACGTTCCTTGTCAGCACCCGGGAACCTGCTTATGTGAGTGACCCTACCTCCTTTCCCCTTCTGGGGGTGGGAGACAAAAGCTAGGCCTGGGCCATCCCAGGAGAGGCAGCTGGGGACTTTGGTAGGCCTGGCTTTGCTCTTCTAGCCTCCTCAGCTCAGCCAGCATCCATCTGTTGACAGTATACCTACTCTGAAGTTCCACCTTCCTCAGAGGACCTACTCTTTCAGTGGGGGATTCTGGGTTGAAGCAGTTTGTGGCCCCAGAAACATGAGTGTTTTAGGGGCATTATAATGGATGAGTCACGTGATCTCACTCTGGGACTTTCTGTGTGAACACATGTCCATTCATCTGCTCAAAAAGAATACCCTGGTTCAGGCTCTGGCAGATGCAGGGGTCTACTGTCTCTGGGGTGTGGGGGCATCCTCAGCGTCCCCTCTCACTTCCCTTTTCCCTTCCTCTGGCAATTCCAGCAAAAAGCCAACCAGGGAATGGGAGCCCTTGTCTGAGCCCAAGGTAATGCCTGTCTGCCTGCCTGTGCCATCGCCTCCCCTCTGCTGGGGTCTGGGGCGGGCATCTGCAGAGCACGAGGGCATCTCTGCCAGGCAGATGTGCCTTCAGCCTGAGCTGCTGTGCCTGGCTCACCGAGGGCTTCTGGGTTTACAGAGAGGGGCATCCAGGGGCTTGGGTCCTGTGGTGTGTCATGCATGTGGGCTGGGCTGCGGTGCATGGCGCTCCACCCGGAATGCCTGTTAACTCACCCAGGTCTGCAAGCCCAACTGGATAGCTGCAAACCCATGCACGTCAATGGCATTAAAGGTCTTTTGTGGCCCTGGGGCTTTGATCTAAGTGTGCACAGAGCACAGATCAGGCCTGCTGCATTCTGTTGGGTTAAAACCTAGAACTAAGTCCTATTCTGCCTGTTAATCATAGCAGGATGGGGCTTTCTCCTTCCTGCCTGCATCTAGGTCAGTATTACCTACAGACTTCCAGGCAGATGAACACTTGTCTCTGTAAACAGGTGGACCTGTTTGGTAACTCTGCTCCCCCAAATGTCTGCATCAGGGCAGATAGATATCCCCATGTCCTTCTCACTGACCCTGATGGGGCTGCCTGGCTCTATTGGGAGCTTCTGTCAGCCACTTCATTGTTAAAAATAGCCTTATTGGGTCCAGGGTGATCATTCAGTTGTTAAAGGTGTTTTTCACACAAGTATGAGGGCTTGAGTTCAATCCCCCAGAACCTCTGTAAAATACCAGGTGAGGTAGTGTAAGTTTCCTGGGGAGATGGAGACAGGAAGACCCCTAGACTCACTGTTTAGTTAGCCTAGCTTCAAAAAACAAGGTGGGTGGTACTTGAGGAAAATACCTGAAGTTGACCTCTGACTTCCATCCATATGTGAACACACACAGTAGCTTTATCAGAGGCTCGGGCTGCAGCTCTTCGGGTAGTGCCTGCCTGGCATGCACAGAGCCACGGGCTTCATCATGCCCAGTGCTGCAGACAAATGGAAAGCTCAGTTAATTAACCCCCTATAGTTCATCACTGTAAAGTGTAGTCACTTCTGCAGCCGTCAGGACCCTCCTCCTCTGCGCGATCTCCATCACTTCTCTCAGTTTCCAGCGTCCACTGATGTCCATCCCATTTTCTACAGATCTGTCCATTCTGGAGGGCTTTTGTAAACGGGATTAGTACAGTATCTGGCCTTCCATGTCTGGCTTCTTCCCCTCAGCAGCAGCTTTCAGGGCTCATCCACAGTGCAGCGTATGTTAGAGCTTCGTCCCCTTGGTAACCGAGAAGTGTCTGGACTCATAGTAATGCTTGGGTCCGTTGGTGGAAGGTGCTTCTCTCTTGGCTGTCCAAATGGATGAGTCTGCTGTGGACGTTTGTATGCAGTCGGGAACTATTTTCTCTTAGTTGGAAATTGGTTTATATGAGGCTGTTCATTGGCCACCTGTGTCCCAGGAACCAGAGGCTCATGTGATGTAAGAGAATACCTGCTTGGGAATCGTGGTTTTTGTTGTTTTTTGCTTTTTGAGAGGAGAGCCAGGGACGTGTGTCCACATTAGCAGTTAGGCAGATGGCTGCCTTGTCCCCACCTTGTTCCCAGATGACCTGTAGCCCCACCTTTTTGTTATGAGAAATGAAAGCCTTTTGTGGGCCTTCTCTTTTCTCTGTGGTAAGGCCTACCAAATCTAAGGCTACCTCCTGACTCTGAGCAAAGTCTGTTCTTTGTCTTTTTTTTTGTTGGTTTGTTTTCCATGAGATCAAAATGGCAAGATACCAGCAGACTAAAATTGCCTCAGTGCTGTACTGCTCCTTTATTCCCTAGTCATGGACACAGCATAGGGCTGCCTGCCAGGGCTGGGAATTTGCAGGGCTTATTCTTGGGAGATCCTGGGCTGAGGCCTGTCTGCAGCGAGAACCAGCCTGCACCAGTCGGCAGGTTTGAGGGCAGGCATTCTTCCCAGGAATCTTACCTCTGGAACGTAAAAATAAAAGAGCAGATAATGTAATTCCTAAACATAGCTGTTTCTTCCTTAGGGACACAGGGATACCACAGTTTACCTCCCCTGTAGGGACAGAGGCCCTTGTTTGGGTAGAGCACAGAGATCATTGTTGAGAGTCATACAGTAGCCCTGAGTGGCAAGGGCAGTGGCTTTTCCTACAAGGGGGACTCTGTTTGAAAGAAGCCTGGTGCTGGGTCCCCTCCTTAGCACTCCCCTTCTGTCAGCTGAAACTCTACTATGGTTGGCATGAGGGTATGAGGGGCTCTGCTGAGAAGGGAGTGGGTGGTGAGGATGGACTGGGTATGACAGGCTTTTCCTGAAGGCTCCACATGCCAGGCCAGTTCATAAGGGCCCTGCCACTATCCCAGGAGCTCACTGTGGAATGACTAAGGGAAAGTGTCACAGTGTCTGCCCTGCAGGCCCTTCTAGCCTGGAGGGTAAAGGGAGAGCACTTGGGGTGTTCCATAAGTAGTTTGGTACCTGTTTTATAGTTCCTTGTTCTTTGGGGTACATCTTATACCTCCATTTACAGGGAGGCAAAGTCAGCTTTGAAATCTTTAAGTGAGGGGCTGGAGAGATGGCTCACTGGTTAAAAGCACTGTCTGCTTCTCCAGAAGACCGGGGTTCAAATCCCAGCACCCACTTGGCAGCTCACAGCTGTCTATAATTACAGTTCCAGGGGACCTGACACCCATGGCAAAACACCAATGCATATAAAACAAAAATAAATAAATTAAAAAAAGAAACCTTTAAGTGACCCAGTAGAAAGAGCGGATGTGACACTGGGGGGCAGAGGCAAAGGTGGGAGATTGACCAGGGCTCTGCCATCATTTCTCCTAGCCTTAATGCTGATTTTCTGTTCGGTGAGCAGGAAACAAGGCAGCGAAGACAGCCTCCGGGGCCCCGAGCCAGCCCCCGTGGGGGAGGAGGAAGTGCTCTTGTGAAAGGTGGTCCCTTCGTGGAAAGTTGGGGAGCTCCGGCCCCCGGCTCCCCACCACTCATGCCTCCACTGCAGCCTGAGGAGGCGATGGAGCCGGAATAACTGCCTGGACCACCCGACCTCGCATGCCTGGCTGTGTGGCCCTGCACGGGGCTGCTGCACCCTGCCCTGCGTTTCCATAGCAGCATGTCCTACGGAAACCAAGCACGTGTGTGGAGCCTTGATGGTCATCTCTGGTTATCTGGGGTTTTGTTTGTTGTTTTTGGTGTGTGTGTATGTGGTTTTTCTTTTTTTCCTTTGTTGTCTAAGGGGACAAAGAAAAAAAAAAAGGACTTGACTCCATGACGTCGACTTTGGCTGCTGGCTGGCCGGACCGGTGGGTGTGAGGAGTTGCAAACCCAGACCAACATGCATTTTGGGACAATTGCTTTTGAAAACATTTTTATGCCAAAAACAAAAAACAACAACAACAAAAAAACCCAACAAACAAAACACCTTCATTGTGAATTCAGAATTGTGTCAGGTGTACCAAGTGAGTGTGTGTGGAGAGTCAAATGGGCGAACTGCTGGCTGGGGTTACACTTGAGAGGGAGTGGAAGGCTCAGTACGACCCATATAAACCTGAAGCCGGGGCACCTTCCAGAACCGTGGAAGAACAGGGCTAGCCCTCAGTGGCTGCAGGGAACTTGGATGTAATTTATTTGTAATGAGGACTTTTTAAGTGTTTTTTTTTTTTTTTTTTTTTTTTAATGGGTGAATTTTTTGTCAGGAAAACTAAAAGGGCTTGCAGTTGAAATGCTTGAGGGGCGTTTAGCCACTCGGGAAGGGCATTCAGCAGCTGTAGTGGCAAAGGTTTGTCTGGAGAATGGAACGCACTTCTTCCTGTTAGCTGTGGGTTTCTGAGACTGCATCAGCTAAGCAGTTCTCCTTGTAAATTGGCAAAAACTTCAGGGTGAAAGCCTCCATATGATTTCATGTACATTACGCGGCTGAAGACTCAACAGATGTGCCCAAGTCCCTCGCTAGCCTGGATTCTGAAGAAATTCAGAAGTTACATACTGGAGCTTCCAGGAGCTGTGTCTCAGCTTCCATCCTGCAATTGTGCGGTGGGGCCTGAGCGCTGACGAAACCTGTGCCTGTATATTAGCAGCTTTGCTTGTTTGTTACCTGTGCATTCTAGAGACGGTAAGGCTTCTTTCCTCTTAAGTACTGTCTGGTTGATGTCGTCAGTGAAACATCACTTTCCTGTGGGGGGCACCGTCACTCAGTTTAGGCACAAATGGCGATCCTTAGGATTGAGGCTTCAGAGTGAACTACACAGTGACATCAGGGTGCCATTGTAGACATTCCTCAGGGCAAAGGACCTTTTTACTTTATTTTGTTTTTTGTAGCCAGGGGCCTAGAGAGCAAATGTGGACCTTTTTGACTCCCAGCCAATACTGGAAGTTTGGTAGAGGTTTAGGTGTGAGTGTCAAGGGCCATAGAGGAAAGCATGAAATTTAAGGGGCTTCCAGACTCTGTTTCCAGTGCTTTGGAGTGATCTGTAATGACTGTCTTGTCAGTATTGGGACTCAGAAGACTGTTTCCTGCTAGTCTCTGTCTGGTGAGCCTCTGTGCAGGGTCTTCCTGCAGAGGCAGGAATGAGGCCCATTCCCCTCTGCCTGGCCATATGCAGTCTAGATGTTCCTGGCTTCCATAGGCTCTTAAGCTCTTGACTGTAGTTTTGCCAGACTTTTCTTGCTGTCACATAGCTAATTAGGATTAGGGCAAAGACTCTAATGTGTGAGGGGGTCCTCTCACCTGCTTGCATTGTCTTTGTGACAGAGGACTTCCTGTCACTGTCCTTCTTTTAAGTTTAAGGAGAAATAACCCAGTAGTTCTAGCCCTTCTGGCCACAGATGTGGTTCGGCTTGTTTGCAATAAGCACCTTGAGGTAGGTAAAGCTAACAGGTCCTGAGGCTCAGTCCCAGTCTGTCTGTCTGTCTGGACTCGGCTTGGCCCAGAAGCCCACCTGAGGAGGGCAGGCATTGTGCAGAGCTCTGCAGAACTCTTGTGTTTACACAACCCTACTGGGCAATGCCCTTTATCCCTGCCCCAGAAATTTCCATCCAAGATGTCTGAGGTAGATTGCCAGCTATCAGGCAGCATCCAGGGTTGAGAGGTCCACGTGAGTAACTTTCTTCTTAAACAATGAAACACCAAAGAAAGCTGTGGAAAGGAGTGACCCCCCTCTCTCCCATCCTGCCCAGCTGCCATGGAAAGTTTAAGTGGTCTGGCCATGACTAGAGCATTAGAGCACAACACTGTTTTCCAAAGCCAGAATCGTTGTCAGCAAGGTACCTCGGCATCTTTTCTGTGTGGGCAGATAGGATGCCCATAGTTCCTTCTGTGCTGGTTCACCCATGATTAATGGACAGGCAAACTTGGTCTGCACCTACGGCCTTGAAGAAAGCACAAGTCCACCCCCTTTTTTCTGTCTTTTCTGCCTCCCCCATACATTTCACAGGCTACCAATGGCCCCCAGACACCTTACAGAGCCCCTTGTCACTTTGGGCTACAGAGGTCACCTCCCTACTGGTCTGGCCTTTCCATGGCACAGAGCTCTTGTCCAGGGACTGTCCTAGAATTAGGGGAACGTCTGTACAAGTTAGACACTGGGTTAGGCCCGTAGCCCTTGCCTTCTTCCTGAGGGTGTACTTTACATTACATTACCAATGCAGAACCAGAGCCTCCATTTGCTCCCAAGGTGCTAGGGAAGAGTGCTGGTTCCCTCTTCTCCAGCCTCATGGGCCGAGCTTCGTGGAACTTTGGACTTTTCTATTTGGTGACCAATGCCCTCTGCTTCTGTTTTATTGCCCCTGATCTTCTCTACTATGCATTTTCCTTTTACCAGGTGTACAGAGTTAAATACTGTGTATTTATCACTTACAAGTACATGAACTGAAGAGAAAAGATAAGCTTGCGGTTGTTTTCCCACAGGTGATTAAGCTTCTCTGTAAACTTGAAATAAACTGACAGCAAAATGGTGCAAAGCCCGGACCTCCTGGGGATTTTTCTGTCCTTTTGTGTTAGCTGTCCTTTTGTGGTGTCTCTGCTTATGTTGGTAGTCCTTCTTCCCTTAGGCTGACAGCGAGTCAGATGTCCAAGTCACAGTTAATGTAGCTGGCAGATCCCCTGATGTAGGCATGTCTCAGGGTGTCACTCTCCAGCATTATTCTGAGACTGGCCATATGCACAGTTCTTAGAAGCCGGGCAGAATGCATATTCCTGGGTCCTATGTAAACTGCTCCCAGGTAGGTGTAGGATTCTGGGAGGTTGGACAGGTGAGTAGCTGAGAGTGATTTTCATCATGTGAGACGTGTCCTATGGCTGGGCATTGTTTTCCTGGCTTTGAACTTCATTTTGAAGAAAGTTCCAGCCCATGCTACAAAAATACAGGCTGTTGTCATGTGTGGCACACATGCCTGTAATCCCCATACTTGGGAGGCTGAGGCAGGAAGAGTCCAAGTTCAAGGCCAGTCTGGGCTGCATAGTGAGGTTCTGTCTAAAAGTAAGGAATAGAGGTTCTTGAGTCAAGAGAAGGTTCCTTTTCAGAAAACACCACTGAGAACCTGAGGCGTGGAAAAGCCATTCCTCAGGGTTCATCACTATGCAGGCTTCAGGGAGTCCCAGAAGCCCACTCATGCATGTGAGGTTGAAGGACCCTGTTACCAGCTCCCACCGAAGAGGTAGTGCCAGGGTGTACCTGTGAGTAGAGATGCAGCTGAGTGCCAGATGACCCAGGTGAGTGGAGTAAACTGTCCCAAACATCCACCCTCACACCCTACCCCGAGAAGCTGTCATCGCCTTTGTCATCCTTCTGTAGCCTTTGTGATAGTGGACAAAGCATTTGTTTTAGTCTCAGGGTGTTGCTGGAGCAGAGTGTCCAAAGCTGCCTCATTTGCAAATAGAATTTGCAGATTTGCAGATTTCTGGAGTCAGGGAAACCCATGATCACCTTTGCAGCAGATTCTGGGTCTGGTGAGGGCTGCTGTTTGCTTCCAGGATGATGTTCAGAACATGGAAGGACCACAAAGATGTGAGTCCCTCTGTCCAGCCTTTTGATAAGGCACTTAGTCCCACTCATGAAGGAAGAGTGTGCTATGAAGCTCTGGATCTTCATCCTGTCACATCAGAGATCCAGCTTCTAAAATGTGAATTTGGGGGACATACTCTAATCATGTCAGCATCCCTAAACCTTCCAGGTCCGTGTGATCTGTGTTTAAGAAGCACCTAAGAAGTCATTTGTGTGTCTGTATACATGTCATGTGGTTGCCTGTGAAGGCTGATGTCAGATTCCCTAGAGCTGGAGTTACAGTCATTCATGACCCTCCTGATGTGGGTGCTGGAAACTGAACTCAGGTCCTGCAAGAGCAGCAAAGGCTCTTAACCATCCAGCCATCTGCAGCCCTGATGTGAGCACTTGAAAAAAAAAAAAAAAAAGCCACACAAGCCAGAGCTTTGTTAAAACCATCCCATAAATATTTTTTCTCCCTCCTCTCCACACACCTACCCAAAGCAAAAACCCAGGTTGGCTGTTAATCCAGCAGAAATAGAACATTCCTAACCCATCATCCTCCTGAGTACCTGGAAATGAACTGATAGTAGCAAAGAGGAGGGGTGAGCTGCTTTTCACAGCACAGAATCAAGTCGGTGTGGTGATGTGGGAGCTGCAGGCTACAAACAGCTGCAGTTTGTACCTCCTGTAGCAAAGCAGATGCAGGTGGTCCTGCTTCGAGGTCAGGCTTGAGAAACTAATGAGGGGGAGAGGATAAGCCACATCCCTGAAATTGTGTTACCTATAGAACAGTGGTCATTGTATAATAATTATAGCTGTTTTATATGAAAATAGCAGCTATGGAAAAACATCATGTGCATTCCATGGGAACGCAAATTAATGAGGATCACAGTTCTTAGGCTTGTAGGTTATAATAGGGGAAAATGCTGGACTTCCAAAAGCAAGCCCTGGGGCTGTAGCTCAGTGGTAGAGCAGGTGACTAGCACGCACAAGACTGAGTTCCTAGCACCACAAAAACAAAACCTCTTGCCAGAAGCAAGCCAACAACGACTCTGCAAAGAAAAGTGTTTATTCAGAGAGGGTGTGAGTGCTCTGTGGGCCAGGGAAGGGTAGAGGTGGCATATGTGGGCACAGCCAAGAAGGCTGTGGCCAGGGCTGTTGTAAAGCATAAGTTCTTTGGTCATGGGTTTATCATGGGCAATGACCAAAGATTCATTGGGAACTAGCTGCTCCTGGAAGTAACCTTCGCTGCAAGGTTATGCTTAGGCATAATCTTACTATCCAGCAGATATCACATGAGGCCCTCCCACCCCAGCCTGCCCCCTTGTTTGGTGGCCCCATTTGGATGTCAGCAACTTTCATAACAGAAGTAGAGTTCCAGCTCATGCTAACAGACCACACAGACAGGGTTTTAAAAAGTCATTTCTTTTAATGATTGGTCCTCAGTCATTCCAACATAGCCCTTCTGAAAGGGAAAGCTAACTCTGCCTTTGTTACAAGGGACAAAGTCTCTAGATACAGGGAAGAGGGACAGTGCCCCAGGCCTGCTGCTGACAGCACCTGGGGAACTCCCTTTATAAAGTGCTTGGACAGCTGCTGGGCCTGGAAGGAGTGAGCTGGTCCCAAGGGTCTAGAGACTGGGGCTTCCAAGGGAGCCAGTCCTGGAGACCCTGGAGAAGATGGCAGTCCCACAAGCCACAGTAGTGACTCTGTTTTCAGACTGTTGTATACCTCAGTATGTTCACACTATATAAACAACAGGTGACCCGGTCAACACCACACCAGGAGTCCACTGTGTGTAGTGAGCAAATGAACCCCCTGCAAAAGGCAAGGTTAAAAGGCTGTAGAGGGTAGAGGAATGTCTTGAGTTTGAGGCCAGCCTGAGCTATGTATAGCGAAACTAAAAAAAAAAAAAAAAAAAAAAGCCAAGATCCCCAAGGAGATGGGTGTTGTGGAGTACCTCTGCAATCCTAGCATTCCTGGGGACCAGAGCAGGAAGGTCTTGAGTCTGAAGCCCATCTGAGCTACAGAGCAAGATCCAGGCTCAAAAAAAAAAACGACAAAACCAAAACAATATAAGACCTGCTGGGCAACCCTGAGTGTGGAGTGGAGGAGATGAGAGTTAGACTCTGGAACTTTCTCTAGAGCAACACAGCAGCTCCTTTCTCACTGCTTCCACGAGGGCTGTGTGGGCTGGAAGTGCAGGGCCATGTATCACTGGCTCATCTCACCTGCAAGACCCTGCAAAGGGGGTAAACAAGTAACTACCCAGTAGGTGTTGTTACCATGAGTTACCCAACCACCCCGGGCAGGAAGAGCTTGCTGCTTTTTCTGAGGATTTCTGGAAGGATCTTAACAATGGAGAGACCAAGTTGGTTCTGGAGGGCCTCACAGTATGGTCTCAAACCCTCATTCTGCAAGATGAATGTAAGTACCATGTGGATGTTGATACTGTCCTACTAGCCGTTATCACAATCAGGTGTGACAAATTAAAATAAAGCTGGGTTAGCTGGACGTTGGGAGGCAGAGGCAGGCAGATCCCTGAGTTTGAGGCCAGCCTGGTCTATGGAGCGAGTTCCAGGCCTACACAGAGAAACCCTGTCTCCAAAAACAAAAGCAAAACCAACTGGGTTTTAAAGAGGGGAGTCCATATGAAGAAAAAGCTGGAAATAAATGTGACCACAGGTGGTCAATTGGCAGGTGCCAACCTCTGTAGAAGGGCCTGGCTCAGTTCTGTACTGGGACAAGAGACAAGACAAGGTGCTCAGACTCCTCGCCTGCAGGGATCACAGCTGCCTACCTGCTCGTAGTCCTCCACATATTTGTATTTCTTGTCCCGGTAGTAATATCTTTTCTTCATGCAGTAGAGGACTATGACGTCACATAGTACGGTCGCCTGGTTTAGCACAGAATGAACCAGGATGCTTTTAGCTGTTGCTCTGTGTGGGGGACCCCTTCCTTTGAAACCTGGTCTACCAAGGAGGAAAGGCATCTCCATCCCTCTGAATCGGACTGGACCCTAACCAAGGAGCTTGGTCTCACAGGTGGGATGTCCAGGGCTTCTTTCCCCTCACCCTAGACGTGTCTAGAGACAAGTCTGAGGTTTAGAGAAGGACAGCGCTTGCTAAGCTGCTTGCTAACTGAGAAAGGTCCACTCCCTGAAGGGAATAGTTTGCCACTCACCACCCCCAGTAGTGCCAAGCCAGAGCCAATGTTGATCATGGTAGGGATGATGTCAAACTTCCCAGCCTAGGTAAGATAGAAAGAGAACCAAAGTGTTCTGATGAGGGTGAGAGCAGAAAATAGGGTGGGGCAGGCTCCCTCTCCCTGTGGGGTTCAAAGAAGAGCAAACCTTCCCAAACACGATGATGTCAAAGCGGATGCCGTATGCCTTGATGAGTGTGCGCTGTTCGTTACCAGTGAGGTCCTTGTAGTACTTGGCAAACCTGAAGGAGAAGAGGGTGAGTTAGGAAGGAAGTGCAGATCTTGGGTCCTAGGAGAAAGCTGTTAGGGTGGGATCTGAGTCCCTGGACACAGCTAGTCTTGGCTAATGAGTTGCTCTGTGGGCTTAGCAGACACTAAGCACCCCAGGTCAGCCTCCCAGCTAATGTGAGGCAGGTGGCAAGGGGGCCAGGACCCCTCATGGAGGAACAGAGTGACTCCTCTGTCATTGCCACCTCCCACAGGATGACAGGAACCTCTTGCTCTGCATGGCCTTCCTGATACGGCCAAGACACATGCTGCTCTCCAGGGGACCCTGGCTGCCAACAGAACTTGTCAGCTGCCAGGGATCTGCAGGGCTGCATTGAAGGCTGAGGGCCAAGCCAGCCACAGCACTGGCCTGGGCCTGGGATCTTGGCTGTAGGTGGGATATGCCACACATCAGTGGTTCTTCCTGCCCACCATCTGCTTTTGTTGCTTACGTGGCTGGGCTGAGATATACAATTGAGCTGAAATACAACTACACAACTCACCTACCAAACTACAGAATTCAAGCCAGGGGAGTCTGTAATCCCAGAGCTCCAGAAACTTAAATATACAACCAAACAATTTGAGAATTTCAACATCTCCAGAAGAAACCTTGCCTTCATCACTGTTTTATCAGACCCCGGCCTTAGCATTCTGCCAGGATCTTAAGCCTGGGATTTATCTGGTCCACAGCTTCTATGAGACTACTGCTGGCAGAAGCCAGGAGCTGGGCATCCTGTGGCCCGTTAACTTCTCAGCTCTAGGAGTACAACTCAAGCTTAAGGTCTGTCTTTACAATGGTCAGAACTGTGCAGTAGAGCCGGGCGGTGGTGGCGCATGCCTTTAATCCAGCACTTGGGAGGCAGAGGCAGGCAGATCTCTGTGAGTTCGAGACCAGCCTGGTCTACAAGAGCTAGTTCCAGGACAGCCTCCAAAGCCGCAGAGAAACCCTGTCTCGAAAAACAAAAACCAAAGAAAAAAAGGAAACAAAAACAAAAGAACTGTGCAGTAATAGAGATGGAATAACTGAAATCTGACTCTCAGGGGATCGGTCAAAACCTGCCCTAGTCTCAGAAAGCCTTCTTACAACGCCATACAAATTTGATTCCAAAAATCATCACTAGAGGGAGTCAAGGGCAACCTTTTAAAGAGTCACCCAGCAGATGCCTGTGAAACGTACACAGGATTTTGCTGCTTTAAGAAAATGGCAAAGGTATTCCCAGGCCTCTCATCAGATTCCCAGGTATCCTTGATTTGATAGTGTCCCCTTCCCAAGCTCATGTCCAGTTAGGGCCTGCAAATGTGACCTTATTTGGAAATAAGGCTTTGCAGATGTAATTTTAGTTAAAATGAGGTCATACTAGATTAAGGTCCACCTAAATCTAATGTTCAAGAAGAGGAGGAGAAACTGGGCCAGGTGTGGTGGTGCATGCCTTTAACCCAGCGCTCAAAAGGCTAAGAAAATCCTATTTCTGGAGTTCAAGACCAGCCTGGTCTACACAGCAAGTTCCCTGCCTGTCCAAAGAAAGAGAAGGTGGGCATGGTGGTGCTCACCTCTAATCCCAGTACTTGGGGTGATGGCAGGGGGATCAGGAGTTCAAGATCATTCTCAGCTACATAGGGGAAAGAAAGCCATATGGCCCAGAGATGGTGACACACATACAAGCCAAGGATTGCTGGTAGCCACCAAACGCTTGAAGAGGCAAAGAATTAGGCTATAGAGCTTGAGGCAGCACAACCTTACAGACACCTTGATTTTAGAATTCTGACTCCAGAAATACTACAGAGTAAAATTCTGTTGTTTCGAACCATTCAGTTTGGTTACTAGAACCCAGGGAAACTGACATACCAGCATTTTCAGAAGGCAAACTTGAGTACAGCCCTTTATTTTATTGAGACAGGGTCACGAAATGCAGCAAAAGTTTGCCTCAAATTTGTGCTTCTCCTGCTTTAGTCCTCCAGGTGCTGGGATTATGGATGTGTGCCATTATGCCTGCCTGGCTTGAGCACGGGCCTCTCTTGAGTCTTTACACCTGTAACCTCTGCATGCTGGGGCAGAATCAATTACTGAAAAACCAATTTCTGGACCAGATCCCATCGACCTTGAACAGAGCCCACAAGCTCATCTGTTCCTCACAGTAGTAGGTAGGGATGTGGCAAAAGATGGCTCTCAGAAGCCTAAGCTGCTGGAGGGGAAGGGATATGAATAACCCCATAGGTATCAACCATCACCGTTCCCCCACCATGTGAGTGTCAGGGCTCAGGCTCACACACCTGAAGTTGTAGCCAGGAGACACGTTGTGCTCCAGGTCCCGGGTGTCAAGGCGCCTGAAGGAATACCTGGGCAGGCAGAGGGAGGCGGCTCTGTCAAGGTTGCAGTCCCACTTGACCTGGATGCCCATGATGCCTCCCTATTGGGAAAGCAAGAGGGACACACAGCCAGGTTTTCAGAGCTCAGGTCTGTGCTTGGGCCAAGGAGGTGCGTGAAAAGGCTAGCACCCACCTCAACTGCCATATCCTGGAAGCTGTGCCCTGCATCCTCCACGATTTTGCCGAGACGGAATATGGGGCAGAAGGGATCCGTACGAGCGTCATAAATGCACGACTTGAGGTAGGAAGTGGTGATATTGGGGAGGATATTCCTCCTGAAGTCAGGAGGAAGCAGAAAGTCTAAGCAAGGGGAACCCGGGAGAGCCAGGCGGTCTTTAAGAGGCGTGTGGACACGCATGCCTAGCCCCCACTTACTTGCTGAAATTAAACTTGGGGTACCAGATGTTGTTCTTTACCAAGAGGGTAAAGTTTTCCGCCGCCTTTAAAAATGCTGGCCTGGAAAAGAATTTTAATGGTTAATAAATGCATACACAGGGCTGTGAAACCTTTCAATAGTTTGCAATGTCTCTCTCAAGGACAAAGGGGGAGCCTCTGGTATTTTCTACTCTCTTCTATATAACACTAGGTCACCAGGCCTTCTGGTCCTTCCTCTGAAAAGACAGGACTTCCGGCCCAAAGCATTGGGCTTGAAGAACCTGCGCATTAGCTGAAGATGCTGGTTATGGGTGGCCGCCATGGTTCCTTAGCCATCTGCTGGCCTCCGGTTTGCCTTTTCAGGTGTTCACTTGCAGGGTGTTCACTTTCGGGTGTTCAGCCTTGCTGAAAAGGAAACCATGCCACCAGCAGACTCTGAAGAGTGCCATGTCAGCTTCTGGCTGACAAATGAGGTGAGTCTGTTTGCAAGGGGCTGGCCCTTCTGTGAAGGAGGCCTCCCCTGAGGCAGACAAGAACTTTTAAGTTATGAATGGAGTCACTCACCTCAGCCCTGCCTAAGGCTGTACTCCAGCCTCCGGGTGTGCATACAGACATAACATCCCCATGCACACAGTCACTGAAAATAGATGTTTCTGTTCTTATCCAGTCCCTTCATTTACATCAAGGAGGAAGCCCTGACTTGGGGTGTCACTTGCTGATTTGTATTTCTTACAAAGAATAAGCTCCAGATCATACAACCTGGGCAGACAATGAATACAATATAAATACATTGTCAAGCCAGACAGTGGTGGCCCACACCTTTAATCCCAGTACTCGGGAGGCAGAAGTAGGCAAATCTCTATGAGTTCGAGACCAGCCTGGTCTACAAGAGCTAGTTCCAGGACAGCCTCCAAAGCCACAGAGAAACCCTGTCTCAAAAAACAAAAACAAAAACAAAAAACAAAAAAAAATGTCAAATACAACTTTAGCCACGCTGTAATTTATTTTGTTTTTTCTTCAGATATAGTCTCCATGTATAATGCAGACAGACCTGGGAGTTGCCACCCTCCCCCTGCTGAGGCTTTGAAATTAAAAACTTCATTGCATGTGCATGCATAGAGGTCAGACAACCATGGGTATGCTGGTTCTCTCCTTCCTTCCACCATGTGGGTCCTAGGGATAGAACTCACTTTGGCACAAGTGATCTTTTCTGCTGAACTGTCTTATTGGTCCAGAGTCATCTACATTTAAAAGTCAAAGGTTAACCTTAAAATGACCGAGCAGGTTGTTTGTATTCATGTGTTTGCACGCGCGCGTGCGTGTGTGTGTGTGTGTGTGTGTGTGTGTGTGTGTGTTGAGTGTGTTGAGTGTGTGAGTGTGTGTGTGTGTGCATGGTGCTTTAGCCACCAAAAGTCAGGTCTGAGAGCTTATGCTGGTATCCGAATACTTGGAGAGCTGAAGCAGGAGGCCGAGAGACCAGGGCAGGGCTGGTGACATGGCCTAGTGGTTAAAGGCACTTGCTGCAGTACCTGAGGATTTGAGTTCTATTCCTGGGACCCGAAAGGTAGAAGGAGAGAGCTGACCCACACATTGGTTTCTGACCTTCACATGTGCCATGGCACACTTACACACACACACGTGGACCAACACAAATGTAATTAAAAATTACTTAACAATAAAAACAAAAGAGTTCAAAGCCATCCCTGACCACATAATGAGGCTCTTTAAAAAAAAAAATCAAGATTAAAAAACCGAGAACTGTTTCCTGTTGGTTATTTGCAACTGACAGTCCTCCAGCACGTGTAAGTCGCCTTTACCCTTATCACAAGTGACAACCTCTTGTGGTTTCCTTGCTCTGTGGTTGACTGCCACTTTCCTGGGGTGAAATGGCCCCACTCATAGACCAAGAGTGTACACACACACACACACATACACACACACACACACAAAAAAAAAAATCCCAGCACCCAAGCTCACCTCACCCTCTCTGTCACCTCCCTCCAGGCTGAAAACCAAGGCTAGGGAACCTTGAGTAGGACTCACGTTGGCACATCAGCATCATTCTCCACTGGGCACCATGCTGCCACCTCACAAGTCTTCACAGACTCATTGAATGGAACACATTTTCCAGTCCCAATTCCTGTGAAGAGAGAATAGGTCCAGGTTCATATGGGTCTTGTCAACAAGCTTTTACCTGTGTGTAGTACAATATCAGACACCACCCCCACCCCAATCCTGGGCATCTAGTCTTTAGTAAATATGGGATTTAGATGGTGTCTAGAAACTGGAAGGAAAACAAGAAGGCTGACTCAGGCTTGGCCACATAGCCACCAAAGTGATATCAAGTCATAGAGGGACAACATCTGGAGTGTCTGCCACAACACAAGTGAACCTCTTACACCAGGTTCCCTTAGGTTCGTGTAGCACTGGGGGGGGGGGTCCTTCTCTGATGATGGACTAGAACTGAACCCAGGCTCAGCCCAGCCGGTGCTCTGCCATTGAGCTGTATTGGGGGGGGGCGCACAGCAGATTTTCATTTTTGCAATTTCTCTATTGCAGATATGCCACAGGAAGTATGATGTCATCAGAAGCCACTTTCCCCAGGTCCAGCATCTGTGAGAGGTCCCAGCTGCTCAGGCACTCACTCCTACCATTGCTGTGGGTGCCTGTGGAGCCCATAGTGCAATTGGAGTCTGAGTCACAAATGGTGGTCTTATCAGGAATCTGGAAAGGAAATGAATGGAAACATGTTCCATGCAGTCTAGTACCCGCCCCCACACACAGTTTGCTAGGAGCAGATGCGGGTGTGAAGCCTGAGGGCCTTTCCCTGAGAGCCACCTACTTCTGCACATGTGCTCTGTGTCTGGTTCACAGTGATGATCATGTTGGTCATGATGAAGAGTGAGTTTTCCTCCTGCAGAAAGGAGAGAGTCCTGTTGAGTCACCTTCAGAAGAGGCGAATGGGGCCTAGAGAAAGCCCAATGGGGCTGGAGAGGTGGTTCAGTGGTTAAGAGCACTGGCTGCTCATCTGGTGGAGCTGGGTTCGATTTCCAGCACCGACGTGGTAGCTAACAACTATCGGTAACTCCAGTTCTGGGGGACCTGACACCCTTTTTTGGACTTCATAGGCACCAGACACAAAAGTGGTATGCAGACATACATGCAAGGGAAAACACCCATACAATAAAGTCAAGACCTATATCTAAAAAAGAAAGCAGTTGAGTATTTAAAAACCAAAAACTAGAGGTCAAGAAAACATTAAAAAAGAAAGAGCAGTGCAGTGGTGGTGCACGCCTTTAATCCTACCACTCAGAAGGCAGAGGCAGGAGGGTCTCTGTGAGTTCCAGGGCAGCCTGGGCTACAGAGTAAGTTCTAGGACAGCCAGGGCTACACAGTGAAACATTGTCTTGAAACAAAACAAAAACAAAGAAAGCCAGATGTTCCCCTTTTTGTCTGGGGGGAGAGGCAACTGAGACAGGGATTCACACACCACAGGCTGACCTCTATAAATGTATGGAGCCAAAGCTGCCCGTGAACTCCTGAGCCTCCTGCTCTCAGCCTCCAGCTGAGATTACAGGTGTGCACTACTAAATCTGTCCAGAAATTTCCTTAAGAATACAATTTAAGGACTGGAGAGATGGCTTAGAGGTTAAGAGCACAGGCTGTTCTTCCAGAGGTCCTGAGTTCAATTCCCAGCAACCACATGGTGGCTCACAACCATGCATTATGAGATCTGGTGCCCTCTTGTGTTGTGCAGATATACATGGAAGCAGAATGTTGTATACATAATAAATAAATAAAATCTTAAAAAAAAACAAAAAGAATACAATTTAAGGGGATGGTGAGATGGCTCAGAGGTTAAGAGCACTGGCTGTCCTTGCAGACGACCCTGTTCAGTTCCCAGCTCCCACACCCGTGACAGCTCACAATCATCTGCACCTCTAGTTCCAGGGGAACCCAGTACCCTTTTCTGACCTATCCAGGCAAAATGCTCAAACACATAAAATTAATTTTAAGAGCATAACTTAAAGCTGAGTGTTGGTGGCACATGCCTTTAATCCCAGCACGCGGGTCCCAGCACGCGGGTCCCAGCACGCGGGAGGCAGAGGCAGGCGGATCTCTGTGTGTTCGAGGCCAGCCTGGTCTCCAGAGCGAGTGCCAGAATAGGCTCCAAAGATACACAGAGAAACCCTGTCTCGAAAAACCAAAAAAAAAAAAAAAAAAAAAAGAGCACAACTTAAAAAAACCTGATCTATGGTCCCCTGTTCACTCTCCATGGAGCTAAAGCAGCAACTGAAACAGATCATTGCATACAAATGTTCCTGGCAGCACTTCATGACAGGCAAAAGGTGGGGACAAGCCAGCTGTGGTCTATCCATGCGATAGAATTAGTATCTGGCCATCAAAAGGAAGGAGACACTGATACATGCTTGCCACACACACCAACCTCAGAAACATGCTACAGGGTGGATGTAGCTTGGTGGTTGAATATTAGCCTATCAGTTACAAGGTTCAATTTCCATTTACACACACACACAAAAGAATTACAGGCTGGAGAGACAGCTCAGAAGTTACTGCTCTTCCAGAGAACCTGGGTTCAGTTCCCAGCACCCACATGGTGGTTCATGGCCATTTACAACAGTAATTCCAGGGGATCTGATGCCCTCTTCTGACTGCTGCTTGTACTGCACACACATGGTGTACATACAGTTGCATTCAGGTGCACACACAGACACATAAAATATTTTTTTAAAGCATGCTAAAGGCTGGATATGATGGCAAATGCCTTTGATCCCAACACATGGGAAGCAGAAACAGAAGGGTCTCTGGGAGCTCAAGGCCAATCTGTTTACATAGCAAGTTCCAGGCCAATCAGGGTAGCATAGTGAGGCTGTCTAAAAAATAAATAAACAAATGAAGGAATAAATGAATGTTCTAGAGAAGAGTCTGCCAACCAGTAACAGACATTTCTCTCTTTGAAGTGGCTTTATTTTCTCCTCACAGATACAAAGGTGCCAGTGTTTCTAGAAAGCAATTTTCTGTAGACAAGAGAGGAATTGCTAATTATTACCTCCTCATACAAGGAATGACAATGACCCCAGGAGATCCTAGTTAGAAGCCCCCTCCCCAACCTTCACTGGATGCATGGGAATATTAAAGAACTTCTAGAAGTTTCCAGCATTTTATACCCCCCCAAAAAAGCAGAGTCAGTTCTGAAAGCTATCTCAGGGATCAGGTCTCTTCAAGCATCCCCACCCAGGTCAGACAAGGTGGCGAATGCTCTGGCCACAGCCAGAACAAACTTCTGGGAGACAAGCTGCAGGAGAGGTGAAGCAGGGGTTTCTCCTGACATCTTGTCAGCCTTCCAGCAGTTTAACAGATAGATAACCCCCTAGCTAGTGCCAATAAAAGTCTTGCTTCTGAGCCAACCCCTCGAGTTAGACGTGTTGAGTTCATTGTAGCCTACTTTCTGTGACTTATCTCTTTCATTTTGGGAAATTTCAATCTAGAGATGCATCACATAGATGTGGTGGTCTGTTCCAACCTGGAGACAGCTCGGGAAGAGAGCTCCAGGGAACGCCTGGCCCCAATTCAGCTGCTTGACTGAACCCAGCTGCTGGCTGGCCCTTTCCATTCAGTCCCAGGAGCAGAGCACATGCCCTTCCTTGGCTGCAGCAGGTACAATGGGTGTGACAGTCCCAGAGCTTGTTAGGATGGGTTGGAAGCTACCACCACTCTGCTGAGACTGGTATGTATCAAAAGACCGTCCAATTGCAATTGCAACCACTCGCTCCAACTGGTTAAATTTTTTTTTTTTTTTTTTTTTTTTTTTTTAAAGACAGGGTTTCACTGTGTAGCTCTGAATGACTTGGAACTCACTAACTCACTATGTAGACTAGGCTGGCCTTGACATTGACAGAGATCTGCTTGCCCTTGCTTTTTGAGTGCTGGGGTTAAAGGCATGCACCACCATGCCTGGAAGTCCATTTTAGTTTTCTGTCTCTTTAGTTCTGGCTTTTCTCCCATCAAATCCTTCTCCTGGGAATGCCAGGGAAATGAACACTTTTAAAGAGAATATCTGAAACCCTTGTTTCTCCCTCCTAGCTCCAAGTCAAGTACTCACAGCTCAACTAATTTGGCTATCATAAACACCAAGCCAGCACACCAGCCATCTGGAGGAGACGTTAGGCCAGGGTTTGGCCAAGAGACACATAACTGAAGAGTCAATGTTTAACTCGAAGGTTTGGGGCTGGAGCACAGCCGAGTGCTAGCCTAGCATGTGTGGAGCCCTAGGCTTTATCTCCAATTCTAGAGTAAGAGACCAAAATGTAAACTTGTGTCTGTGAGGATTAACAGACAGTATGTAAGTTAGGACACCCTGTGTGCAGCAATTTCTTCCTTTTTGTTCCTGATGGAATGGCATGGTTTCTTTTTAGTTTGGGTGTGTGGTCTTTAACTGCTGTTTGCTGTTTTTTAATATACCTTCTGACAAGCTTTACCTTGTGGGTGTAAGACACAAAAGCAAACACAATACTGAAGGTGCTATTTCTAGCTTCACTTTGCCCAAGACTAAAGACCTTTGCTTTCTCATCCTCTAGAGCTAGGGGAGATGGAGGTGTGGGAAAGACAGTGCTGGGTTGGAGCCAGCCACACTCTAGAGCAGTAGGAGAGCTCCCCAGGGTTCTCTGTTAGAAATGACATCTCAGACATCTGGCTGCATTGCTGGGCATGGAGGTGGTGAATTCTGGCCACACATTGTATGTGTGCAAAAGCAGGAAGAGTTTCTTGTGCACAGAAGTTACAGGCATACCTGAGCTGGAATCACATAGTCCGCCACATCCCAAATTCGGAATCCAAGTTCAGAAGTGTTGGTCACTGCCACACCTTTGGCCTTGGTTGTCACTGAGCTGACCACAGAGTCAGTTTCCTGGTAGCCCTTTTCCCACACAAACACCCATCTAAAAAATACAACAGGTCACAGGGTTCATTAAATTCAAACTGACCAGGGAGTCTCCGATAGCCACCCAGGAGAAGTATGGCATTTACTAATCATGTGACTTGCAAAAGCTGCTGAACTCCTACAACACTCCACTATGTAAAATGGGCATAGTAGACCCACTGATTATTTCTGAGAAATAAACACTTGGGTTAGCAAGCATGGTCATTGGCACGCAGGAAAGGCCCGGCAATGCTGTCTTTATTACTGGATGTCCCAGGCAGGCTTGAGACACTTGGTCTTTGGGATTCGCTAATAATAGGTTATTATAACAATAGTTTCCATTTGATTTCCATGTAGTAAGCCATTTATCCTGACCACTTCATGAGGCCCCCCATAGTATCATTATCACCTACAGTTTACAGTGATAGGAACAGAGACAGAGAATGGTTAAGTCACTTACCCAAGGTCATACAGCTAGCAAGTGGCAGAGTAGGGATTTGAACTCAAGCCAGAAATCTCTGAAGCCTCTCTTGTCTCTAGACAAGGGAATTCTATCTTTTAGGCAATTTTGTTTTTTTAAGACTGGATTTTGTGACAGGCGTTGGTGGCACACGCCTTTAATCCTAGCACTCGGGAGGCAGAGGCAGGCGGATCTCTATGAATTCGAGACCAGCCTGGTCTATTAGAGCGAGTTCCAGGACAGTCTCCAAAACAATACAGAGAAATCCTGTCTCAAAGAACACATACCCCCCCACACACATACACACACACACAAAAAAAAAAAAAAAAGACTGGATTTTGCTATGCAGCTGGTCTGCTACAGGCTATATAGCTCAGGCTGGGCTCAAATTCTGAGGTGGCAATCCTTCTGCCTCAACTCCCAAGTGCTGGGATTATAGGTGTGAGACACACTACACCTATCTGGGGTGTGTGTGTGTGTGTGTGTGTGTGTGTGTGTGTGTGTGTGTGTGTGTGTGTGTGTGTTCTGTGACACTGAGCTAGCTTTGGGTCTTAAACGCTGGTCCTTGTGTATTGAGTACTTTACCATCTCAGCTGTGCACCTAGCCCCTCAAGGAGACTGTTCACAATACTCTCTGACATTTTCCTAGGAATTCTGGTCATCGAATTGCTCCTCTCCTTCTGAAGTAAGGACATTAACTGCTGGGCCAAATAATTACAGATCTAGAGGCATCTGTATGCAGGAACCGGAATCAATGGGTCTCAGTTTACACTCAGTTGCTTTTTCTACCTTTACACTGAGAATGAAGACAGAATGCCACAGGACTGCAGCCAGATAAACTCATAAGGCCACAGCAATGTCCTAAGCACCACACAGCTGTGAGAATGCTGCCCCCAAGAGCCACTGTTAAACTTACACAGGACGCTAGTCACAACCAAGAAATGCTAAGATCCACCTCCATAGGATACTCATCCTTGACAAGACTTCAGAAATCTGTGTTTTCCGTTACTGTTTCATGGGTTTGTTTGATATGAGACATTCTCAAACCCTCTGCCCATCCTAAATATGGGTTTCTCTCCCACAAAGTCCTCCTCTGCAGGGCTTCTAGGAACCCATCGGCACTAATGCTTCTATGTAATCCACTGTGACACAGAGCTTAGGGCAGACAGGCTGAGTTTTATGACCCAGAGCATTGAGTTGCCAAATCAAGAGAGAGAGATGGTGCCACCAGCATGCAATGAGTCATTCCCTCATCACATGAATAGGATCACTAGGAATTCTGAGGGCAGTGTCTTTTTGAGGAAGGATTTGCTTTATGCATTAAGAGATTACACTTTCACCAAGATTAATGAAATCAGGAAGCTAACAAAGAAGCTAAAAGCCAGGGTGTGATGAATTGTCCTTATAATCCCAGCACTCAGGAGGCTAAGGCCTGAAGATCACTTGCAAATTCCTCTGCCAGCCTGGACTATGTAGCCAGTAAAAGGTTACCACGGGCTACACAGTCAGGCTCTGCCTCAAAACAACAACAAAAGTTTAAAGTTTACAAATCCTGAATTTATCTCCTGAGTTGATTTTGATTATAGGAAGATGGGTGAAAGCAAAGCACTGTTTTTTGTTTGTTTTGTTTTTTATAGAAATGATCGGGGCAGGGCTGGAGAGATGGCTCAGGGGTTAAGAGCAATGACTGTTCTTCCAGAGGTCCTGAGTTCAATTCCCAGCAATCCCATGGTGGCTCACAAACCACCTTGAATGAGATTTAGCACCCTCTGCTGGTATGCAGGCAGAAGACTGTATACATAATAAATAAAATCTTTTTTAAAAAAAGAAATGATGGTGGCAGATATTACTATATATGCTGCCATTAGAAATAGAATACAGCCGGCCAGTGGTGGTGCACACCTTTAATCCCAGCACTAAGGAGGCAGAGGCAGGGGGATCTCTGGGAGTTTTGAGACCAGCCTGGTCTACAAGAGCTAGTTCCAGGACAGCCTCAAAAAAATACAGTAGGGGTGGGGAGTGTAGTTCAGTGGTAAGAGTCCATGATTAGAAATACAGTGTAAGTCAGGTGAGGCGGTGCATGCTTTTAATCTCAGTATGTGGGAGGCAGAACTCTATGAGTTCAAGACCAACCTGGGTTACATATCAAGTTACAGGCCAGATAATTTAGAGATCTTGTCTCAAGAAAAAAAAAGGGGGGGGCACAGGAAAAATTAATGGCATATTTTTATGTGGTCCAATGCAGACAGAATATTTTAATATCGTCAGTGTCTAAAGTATCAGACTGGGAACTGGTATACACCTGTCATCCCAGCACTTGGGAGGCAGAGACAGGCTTGAGAGTCCTCATTCTTGGTCACAGAGTGAATAGGACAGCCTGGGTTACATGAGACCCTGTCTAACCTGAGCTCCCCAACCTCCTCACCAAATAAAGGCCTGTGAGATGGTCTCAACAGCTTATGTGATTGCTGTGTGAGCTTCAGAACCTGAGTGTCATCCCCAGAACCCACCACAGAAGGACAGAACTGATGCCCAAAAGTTGCCCTCTGACCTCCTGATGTGCTATGGCATGTATGTACCCTCACCTATACAGAGATACACATGCACTAATAAATAAGATCAACATTAAACAAAGGATACAGCCCAACAGCATCAAGTTTGCCTACCATACATAAGGCCTTTGGTTAATCTCTGGTACCTAAGTAAAATATCACAACAAATTGTGTGTACATACCAAACTATCTTCAAAATCTAGTATGTATTTTTCACTTTGAGTGCATTTTAATTTAGAATGGAGATAGCTCGAGCAGTCAGTGGCTTCATGTGGCCCTCTTAAGATGACAACAGCCACAGGACCTTCACAGTAAAGAACCTTAACAGTGAACACATTATCCTAGGAAAGCAAAAGCCAAGAGCTCAGAGCTCCATCAGAATTCCAGATTCCAGATAGTTCTAATCCAAGCTACTTAGTCAACTAGCAGCATGTTCTAGTACTGAGGAGTCCATTGTGAACACTGGAACTACTCATTTCTGAGCCTTAACACTTTCAAACCTGGATGTGGGCCAGGTGTTCGGAATCCAAGGCCTCATGCGTGCATGCTAAAGACACATTTTATCTATATAGACTTTCAGAGACAGGGTCTCATGTAGCCCAGACTGGCTTTAAACTCAGCATCTTCCTGTGTCAGCCTCCTGAATGCTGGGTTTGCAGACATATCCGTTACTGCCACACCAGGCTCCGGCAGGTTCCCTCGAGTGCCTGCGGGTTCTGTGCTGACATATGCTGGAACGGAAACCTGCAATCTTGTGAATTCCCTTAGGCAGTCGGAACAGATTCCAAACTTCACACCAAAGCAGGAGACCCGTTACTTTATTACTGATTTATTTTTGAGACAGGGTCTCACTATGTATGTAGCTCTGGCTGTCCTGAAACTCACTCTGTAGACCAGGCTGGCCTCGAACCCTTAGAGATCTGCCTGCCTCTCTCTCCCCGGTACTAGGATTAAAGTTTGTGCTTTAGGCATTAACTACTGGGCCAGCTCTCTAGCCACCTATGTACCCTATGTTAAATACCTTTCTCAGGTGAGTACGGACAGGCACAGAAAGTTTGGTAAATCCTGTGCTACAGCTCTATGCAGCTGAATCAAGGGTCAACTTGTTAACCGGCAATCAGTATTTTCCTAAGGATTCCTAAATGGTTCCAAGGTATGGATTAGTGACTGTTGCTTTAGGCCTGTTAGAAAGGAAAGGCAAGCAGATCCACCTGTCAAACCAGCAGCTGCTGACACTAGAATACCTACCTGGAAAGTGGGCCCAAGGGGCAAGGTAACTCCCACTTTTTCTCATGGGGGGGTAATTAAATTCTTACAGGGGCATTCAATTCCAATTAAATATTTAATAATACCTAGTGATGGCAGGGTATATATAAACAGCAAGTGGGGAGCAGAGGTTAGTGTCAGAATAAGGCAGGTACCCATGTTCCAAACAATCCTACAAATCAAGGGAAGTGACCTTAGGACATTTTTGAGAAGTGCGACATCTCCAGGGTATTGTGTTATCAGGAGGTTCTTAAAGGACGGGAAACCACAGACCCAGAAATTACCGAATGAAAATCACAAGCCTTGTTTTTTTTGTCAGCACATTTTGAATTGGAAATGAAGACAGAAGATTGGGACGTTTAGAATAAAGCCCTCCCTGCCCAGTCCCTCCACCAAGTCAAAGGGCATCTCGGAGCAAGCTGGAGGGCAAAAATACAAGGAAAGTGAGGTGCCAGTCTAGCCAAGGCTTAGCTCGTAGGACATCCAAGTGTCCAGGTGGCTGGAGCCCGGTGAGGGCGTGTCGCGGCCCCTTGGAAGGACTTGGGGTGGAGGTCGCC